TGCAACCACAACTTTCCAAGCTAACAGATATTGATCATAAGTTTAATTAGTCTGTACGCTTTGGCAAGTATCGTTTTGTGTACTGTTGAAGGAAAAAAAGCAATAAGGTTTGCCAGAAAATGCCAGTCACTTTTTCAAGTTTCTAAGAAACCTAGGCTATACAGATAGCAGATCTAATTTTAAAAGAGAATTAATTAACTGTAATTGTTTACTCGGTTTAATAAAATGGGTTTTAATTTTTTGCAGCTGAATTTGATAGAACATCACGACAAAGGACAGACATCTCAAATGTACCACATTTGTCCATTTTACTGGCTTTGCTTGGCATATTGCTTCACAAAATCAGCACACATAGCATAAATTAATGTTAGTAGAGCCACAAGTTCATTCTTTGTACATATTTCGTCCACCTGCAAAACACATAATAAATTAATAAATTAATTCACAAGCGACCAAGAGTTGAACAGAAATACTTCACAGAAAAATCCACTCGATTAATGACATGTCAAAGTAGTTTTTCTCGTCTGCCCCACTTTGACCCCTTAACAAACTACAGCATAAATTCCACTACAGCTCACACACAAGTATTATATTCATTTACTAGTACTCTCCCATAACAATACATTACATATTTTCAGAATAGAAAAAGACATTAAGAAACCAATTTTAGCCTGTAAGTTCACTTAAACATTAATGAACCGGTAAGGCCAATGCCAGTGCCACTGAATGTCCCACAAAGTTTAACATCATAAAATAATGGCAGTCTTGTAAAGCACATTTTTAAATAATCCACTGAACACATGAAAGGATTTGGATCTAACAGACAATATACGCAAGGTTTATTTAACTAGTCCAGACTACTTACAACTTCATATGTAAAGTTTAAACTAACTTAATACAAAATGGTTTTGGAATATGAAATATGAGTTCAAAGGCAAATAAAATATCTTCGCTACTGCTAGAAATTGAGTATTTGGAGGTCCCAGCCCGCCATAAAATACTGAGTGAAATGTCAAACTCTACAGTCTTCTTTATTAAAAATTATAATAATGGGCTATTTTGATTTCAAAATTAATATGGCGCCTTTTTACCCCTAAACTTGAGCAAGCACGTTTAAATATAATTACATTTTTAGCATATTTCCTTTACCTTAAATGTTGCTAATATTATCATATTCTCATGCATTTAGGCTGCTGAAAATGTCATCATAATCATTTCTAAATAATTGGCACTGTTGTCCAACAAAAGTGTTTTAATAGAACTCTCCACAGCTGAACCATTATTTACCGTGAAAAAACAAAACAAAAAAACTACATCACAGTTTAACAGTGAAGTGTGTAATATCTGTGCCCCTTCATTATGCTTCACGTCCAACATTGTTCAGAAGACAGCTAGTCCAGCCCATTAAACGTGTAAGGTGTCTATCACAAAAACAACATGCCCTGTGTAAGAGTCCTTCCGCTAATCTCAACAGGCATAAAGCATGGCTGATTTACAGCTACAGCTGCTGAAACTAGGAACAGTTTATATTTGGGGCACCTTTTGCTGTAATAACTCTGTAAAGTAATTCAAACTGCTCTGAGAGCAAAGTATAACATTTAAAATGCTGATAAATATGAGCTATTTTAACCGTCTATACATTCCCTCTGACAAAACCACATTAAGGACATTAACAACCTGTATGTTTTTATTAGTATATGAATAGAAAATGTATTGTTATTTTTGAATATGTAAGTTTGCTATTCTGTAATGCCAGCCAGGGAAGCAATGTGTTTAGGGAAAAGGAGTCCCAGTATCCCTATTCAGACTGCATGCATACTTTGAAGTGCATCTCTTTCAAGCTAAAAGGAGAAGGTCTGTTAGTTAGTACACATTGCCATATTAAAAAGTCCTTAGTTTATGAGATCGTTAAAATAATCCATGTGATATCAGGGGTTCAACTGTAATTTTATGAAGCTACGAGAATACTTGTTGTACGCAAAGAAAACAAAAATAATGACTTTAGTCAACAATTCGTCTCCTCCATGTCACCCTGTAGCGCCATTTTGGAGAGTATCCACTGAACGTAAACAGCGTATGCTGTTCTGTGTCAGCTGCACCACACCCCAAAAAAAACAAAAAAAAAAAACATTGTCATTTACTCAACCTTATGTTGTCAACTTTAACCTGTAGGACTTTTTCTTATGTGGAACTAAAGGACCATTCACACCAAGAATGATAACAATAAAGAAAACTATACAATAACGTTCTTTTTATTAGTGCATGCTCCAATAATGCCATCTGCCACTTTAAACACTCACGCTCTTTAAAGTTGGGTGGATTTTGACTTGCTATCAATGTTTTTACAGTTCATTAGTTGGAAATTTTTTTTTTTGAAAGTTATTCCAAACAATATTGTTTTTCAGTGCCGTTATCATTACAGTTGTGGTGTAGACTTTGATTGTTTCTCATTATTCTCGTTGATTTATAACAATTATTAAAACTTTACTTACTGTTATCGTTATAGTTATCGTCCTTGGTGTGAAAGGGCCCTAAGGCTGTCAGAATATCAGATTTTTACTTTAACTTTAATTATGGTGATATTATAATGCATTTTATCTTTTTGGGCCAATGAGTCACTCAAAATAGTGTAGGGAGGTAGAGAGAGAGCGTACAATAATAATAATAATAATGATAATAATAATAATAAATAAAAAATTGACTGTTGATCGCCACTTCCTCCAGATTGGGGTGTCTTAACAAAAAAACTCCCTCATGGGTGACAACCAATGTTTGGGGGCGTTCACACAGAACACGTTTTTCCATTCCATTGTTTTTCTATGTAAACACACTAGACGGATGTTTATGACCGTTGCGCTCACGTCTTGTGTCTTGCACATGAGCGCTGTGTTTTTAAGATGCTGTGTCAAGTTAACGGGTTAGTTCACCCAAAAATGAAAATTCTGTCATTAATTACTCACCCTCATGTCGTTCCAAACCTGTAAGACCTTCGTTTATCATATCATATCTCCTTGCTACGTTTCTGGATGTTGATCGTGTTAATTACATTGTTGTCTATGGGAGGGTCAGAAAGCTCTCAGATTCCATAAAAAATATCTTAATTTTTGTTCCGAAGATCTTACAGGTTTGGAACGACATGAGGGTTAGTAATTAATGACAGTATTTTTTGGGTGAACTAACCCTTTAAAAGAATTTCAGCTTTTACACACAGCAATGCACATCAATGTCAGTTCCAAAACAGTGGACCAATCAGAAGACCCTGGAGGCGGGGCAAGCGTTGCAAGATTTTGTTTACAGTTGCAATTGACCATTCGCAAAGACCCGCCCTCCTTAGTTACTGTTGCTATCCCCGACAAACAATGCCACTCTCACACTACACATCATGTTCTCACGCAGTGAAAAATACATCACGGAGCAAAGAGGAAACTGACAACACACTGACAGAGAAGACAGAGCAGGTTACTTCTGATATGAAACAAGGTCTCAGGACTCTTAGCTTTCAAATTTGGTCATTTTTAAAGAAATTCAAACAATAAATACCGTTTTGTGGCTCTTTAATGTGTCGTGACTTCTCTTTTCCGCTGAATTAACAGGCAAACTGCAATTCAAACTGGCAGCCAGACCACCATGACTTCAGATAATCTCCTGTTTGAAGTGCTGTTCTGCACCTTATAACACTGTTAAAGGGATCATCGGATGCACATTTTCCACAAGTTGAAGTGATTCTTTAGGGTCTTAATGAAAAGTCTGTAACATAGTTTGGTTAAAATTTCTCAATGGTAGTGTAAAAAACACTGTTTTTACCATCAAAAACAGCTCTGTCTACAGCACGCCGTTTTATTGCATTCCGCTTTAAATGCAAATGAGCTCTGCTCACCCCACCCCTCCCTTCCGAGCTGCTCTCTTGAGAGACGGTAAACTTTAGCAGCATTCATCGTAAAACTCGCTAACTACCACGTTATTAGGAAAGGCGATTTGCAAAGATTCATCAAAAAACCTTACACTCGCTTCTTCTGGAGGTGAAGCTGGATCACGAATGATTCGCGTGAACATAGATGCATTTAGGTAGATTGGGGGCGCATTCCCTAAAGAAACAAAGGTAATCCACTGCGTCTTCAGCGCCTCAGATGTCGCTAGTAAATGTCGACTGCTATGTTCATTATTACATCCAACAACAGAACACCTCAACAACATTGTTTCACCTGGTCCGGCGGTGAAACAATGGCGGGCTGATGACAGCTCACTAAGGGCGGGTCTAAGGCCCCGTCCACACAGAGACGCGCTTAGCTGTATACTCAAAAATTTTGTATCGTATTGGTGTTTCGTCCAGACTGATCCGGCGTTTTGGGACAGTGAAACACTCCCAGAGTGGATAAATCTGAAAACGCCACCTTTGCGTTTTCGTGTGGACAGCCAATCCGTATATTTTGTGAAACGATGATGTCATCAGTCAGACACCGCTACGTCACGTAACAGCAACAAAAACATGAACAAACACTAAAACGATTGTCTTTTTATGAACTAACATTAACACAGATTAATAAATGTTCCATGTTCGCTTGTATACCACATGCAAGGTTTGTGCGCATAGTCCAAGTCTTCTTCTCTGTTTTTAGTGCATCCCTGTGGCAGAATTACAGCGCCACATGCTAGTCTGGCTTGTATAGTACATCGTTTTGTGTCGGTTTCATGTGTATGCAGATATTTCTTGAGACGAGGAAAAAAAAAAAAGATCGGATAGGGAAAGCTCTGGCTTTGTGTGGACGTAGCCTAAGTAAGACACCAGTCCAGTCTGTGCTGAAACGCTACTGTCAATCAAACAGTCGTGGGAGGGGCCTGTCTGTGTGACGTCACATAGACAGGCATCTGAGATTGGCTCGATTTGAGAAAGGGGAAATGATTTAACGAGATAAAAAAAAACACTGGGTGGATCTTTATCATTATAGGGTGGTTGTGTACACACACTGCCAACACACATTTCAGTTCAAACAGCTTGTAAAAGTGCATGTCGCACCCGATGACCCCTTTAAAGGTGAAGTGTGTAATTTCTGTAACTAGTGCTACTAAACAGATAAAAATGTTGAGTTTCAAACAGGTTTCCTGAACACTTCCCCTGTATGCCATTGGTCAGACAGTCCCGCCCCAAACTAATGGCATTGGTTGAGCCAGTGTTACGATGTCAGGCTGGTCAGGATGCTCAAACAAACAGAGCATTGTTTTGTAAGAGTCACAGTGTTTACACTTTTCTGGGGGAATCAAACGACAAATAGATTTCTAGCTGTCTCTGAATTTTAAGATGTGATGAAAGTATTTTAACATTGTAAAAAAAAATGCACACGTCACCTATAACTAGATTTAAACATTCACTGCTTATCGTTCTTCGATCACACTCAGAGAGAGAGCAAGTAGCTAAAGATTGGTTGCACTGCACTTTGAAAAGTTAAACATGTCTAACATGCATGGCAAGACAGTCTAGGCGGTTCAGTGGAGTTTTTTGTCCTCAAAAGACCAAACGAACTGGATCTATGGCTTTAATTGGTGTATCATTCGCTATTTTGTCACAGGTAAATCAGTTTGTATCATGGTGTAACAGTATAAGAGCATTTTGAGAGACACATTCAGTGTGCACATTTGAAAATCATCAGGACTTGATGCCTTTAGCCGGCTCGCTTGACTGTCTCACATCTGTCCACTCCTGCATGGTGTTCTGAAGGGCCTGTGTCTTCTCTTTGTCCACTTGGACGTAGTCCACTTTTTCATCTGAGGTCACTGAAGAGGTGGACGGCTATAGCAAAGAAAAAAAAGGTATAGATTGTGAAAGGATGTGAAGTGATGGAATCAAATATATTCAACCAAACAACTCAAAGTGCAAAGATTCACACAAAATTATTTTATTTGTCTTAGAATAGGGGGTTAATTTTGAGCGTTTGATGATGAGCTTTTCATTTGCTTGATATAAACTGCTAGACATACCTTTCTGTGTGGACCAGGGGAGCCAGGCTGAAAGTCCAGGGCCAAATAGTCCACATTACCACAATTCCTGGGCGCAGGACTGCTGGTACCACTCATCGCTGGGGAGGTAGACACTGGGTTTTGCTGCACAAAAATAAACATGTTTTTTGAGAAATAGCTGACTGACACAAAAACAAATCTCAAAGAATGTTATCTTTATTGAAAGGTAGTCTGTAGTTGAGGAACTTGTATATATTGTGAGTGACATGTGGCCAAGTATGGTGACCCATACTCAGAATTAGTGCTCTGCATTTAACCCATCCAAAGTGCACACACACACACAGCAGTGAACACACACAACCCTTTGGGTTATGAGTCCGACTCTCTAACCATTAGGCCACGACTTCCCCTATCGTTCTTGGTAACTAACTACAAGGTTGGGGTGCTATTCCCAAAGCACATTCAAGCCTTTTCATCACATTCTGAAACTCGACTTCTTGCCCTCACCATTGCCACATAATTCTCCTCACTGTCTGCAGAATCAGTGCTGGTGATGCTCTGGGTCGAAATGGGCCGACAGGGCTGCGACGAGATGGAGTTCACAGGCCTGTAAAGAAAGTAAAAAAAAAAAAAAATCACTTAACATTTACTGCGGCGGTTACTATATAACTAGTCTCAGCCAAGACATCACGACCATGGACCGTTTGCTAAACATCGCAAAGTCAGAAGTCTAAATCCAGTTGGCTGACTTCTACTGGTTTTCCGGGAGCCGTTTGTGGTGGTCTTTAAAGGGTTAGTTCACCCCAAAATGAAAATTCTGTCATTAATTACTCACCCTCATTTTTGTTCCAAACCCTTAAGACCTTCGTTCATCTTCGGAACACAGATTAAGATATTTTGATGAAATGGAGGTGTTGGTTTTGCTGCAAACCAAGACAAACAATCATCTTGTTTTATGTGTAAAATAATTGTGCAATAGAAAGTTGTATAATTAATCAAACTGTTCTTCTAATCTTTATTGAATATTCATGTTTTCAACAAAGACAGAAAATAAACATGAGAACTTGTGTTAGTGCCACTCACCTGTCCGGTTGGGTTTAAGGTTGCGGTTAATCGGTGGTGGTGTGACGTCACTGAGTCGGCCGGGTCGGAGACATAGTGATGCTGTACTGCCCTTCCTGGCCGGCAACGTCGCTGAAAATCCTGGGAAATCAAAATGGTGAGGACCTGGGCTCATGGGAATATAATTATTTTTAGGACTGTCAGCCAGGGCAGCACTGAGAGGGGAGGAGGACGAGCCGGGATTCATGGGTACATAGTTATCCTCAGAGCCGGCACTATCGGAGCGGGTCAATGGGGCTTTAGTTCTCTGTAAAAGAAAGAAGAACAATCCAGCTTACACAGTTTCCAGATCAGTGGTGGAAACCACTGTGACACACACCATTTGTTCTTGTGCAGTTTGAATAGACTTGTTATTGTCAGTTTGTGACTCTGTGAGTTATGAGGTCATTGTCAGGAAATGGTGCCATTTGTGTCTTTATGACTTACTACGGATATAATTAACAGGATACTGAACTTAATCACATTATTTGATAGATGTGACTCTTAGTCACATTTAGTGTGTAATGCTAAAGTGATTTTAGAATAAAATGTTAATTTTTTAATTTGTAAGTCATTGCAGTTAAACTGTAATGGTTACACAGAAATTATTTCAATACAAACTATATTAAACATTGTATTTAAAGGGATAGTTCACCCAAAAATGAAAATTCTGTCATTAATTACTCACCCTCATGTCGTTCCAAACCCATAAGACCTTCGTTCATCTTCGGAACACAATTTAAGATATTTTTTGATGAATTCTGAGAGCTCTCTAGCCCTCTCATAGACAGCAAGGATCCTAACACGATCAAGGCTCAGAAACGTAGGAAGGACATTGTTAAAATAATCCATGTGACATCAGTGGTTCAACTGTAATGTTACGAAACTACGAGAATACTTTTTGTGCGCAAAGAAAACAAAAATAACGACTTTATTCAACAATTCTTCTCCTCCGTGTCACCCTATAGCACCATTTTGGAGAGTCTCACATACGTAAACAACGTATGCAATGTATGTATGCGGATACGTTGTTTACGTTCAGATCAAAGCGTAAATAATGTAAACAGTGTATCCGCATACATATCCGCATACGTATCCTTGCTGTCTATGGAGGGTCAGAGAGCTCTCACATTTCATCAAAAATATCTTAATTTGTGTTCCAAAGATGAACGAAGGTCTTACGGGTTTGGAATGACATGAGGGTGAGTAATTAATGACAGAATTTTCATTTTTGGGTGAACTATCCCTTTAAAATTACTAGTAGGCACAAAGCGCTGACTATAAGTAATATGTTGTGTTGCACTGATATTTGTACATTATTAGATATTTTTGCACTGCCCTTCAACCCTGTAACCGTCTAGCCCAAAACATTTTAAATGTAATATAGCGCCCTCCATGGGTCTATGGTGCTTATGGCCCTGTTACTTTCAAATTGAGCTTGAAAAATATGACGTGACGTCTTGAAAGTTCAGTAGTAACCTTTTCAAAAATAAGGCACAAAGGCAACATTTTCTTGTGAATGACCCTTAGATGTAGATATGATATAGAAGCTGCTTTACCAGGTATGAGGTGGAGCCATCATTTACAGACTCCATTGACTGACCAGAATTGTTGAAATAGACTGGCCTTTGGGGACTGCTGGTCTCAAAAGAGGATCCTAAAACACATGAGCAAGTACAAAAAAATCCATGTAAAAACAAGTCCACCCTGTAAGGAGTTCAGGGAAAATGTTTACCTCAAGCCTTGGTCACAATCAAAGGAAAAGTCATAAGACACATAAGCTGTTCATTCTGTACAAATCAGACTGGATTTGTACGTGATCTAGCATTCAATTCTGTAACACTTTCACACAAAGGCATTACTTATGTGGCCATTTTCTTCATATTCCGCATTGCCTACCAGTAAGCATGGCTACCGAACATAGGTGTGGGAATCAGGCGAGGATAGTCAAAAGGTCACTTCCCGTTCCTGCAGACACACTATTCTGGCCTTGCTGAGCCCAAACCACTAGGAAATCACTATATTGTGTCTGCTGTTTTTTTCACTGCTTATCAGGCCGGAACAAGCAATTCTGGGGCTGCCTGCATGGCTTGAATTTCATTAGCCTCCTAGCAGAGCAGAGTAAATCTTGACCAGATTGCCCCTTGGTTTCAAATCGGACATACACATTCAGAAAAGAAACAGAACGAAAGATAGTGGAAAGGTAAAAAAACAACAACATTGAGCTGAAAGCCTAAATTGGCTGCCTGATAAGTGTAGAGAGGTAAATCAATTGGTAATAACACTGATCTACAGTCATGTAATGAGTTCATAAAGCTTAAGGAGCATTGGAGAATAGGAAAGATGAGAGAAGAGACCAGATGAGATCAAGTGGAGAGACAAAACAAGATGAGAGAAAATAAGCGAAGATCAGACTTTAAAATAAACAGGCTAAATTAGTAGAGCAAAGAGAAGAGGCAAGACAACATGGGAAAAGTAGAGGAGATGATAACAAAGAGATGAGGAGACAAGACAAGACTTTAAAATAGACAAAATAAAAGAGGAAATGAGGGTAAGACAAGAAAAAAAAGACATAGAAGACAAAGAATCATATAAGATGGAGAGACACGAGGAGACAAGAGTCTCTCTTCACACCTTGTTTCTTTTGTTTTTCTTGTCTTATTCTTATTTCCTCTCATTTTGTCTATTTTAAAATGTAACTTTTTTTTTAAAGTGGACATAAAAGAAAACAAGATGAGAGTAGAGACAAGACAAAATAAGAGGAAATGAGAGATGAGAGGAGAGAAGATGAGAATGAGACAAAAAGAGAAAAGGAAAGATGGGAGGAGACAATGAGACAAAAATGAGATAACCGGTGAGACAAAATTGAGAGGAGAGACCACAGAGAAAAAACAAGAGACAAGAGGAGACAAGATGAGAACAAACAGGAACTGAAGACTAAAATAAAAAGACGAAATGAGAAAAGATAGATGTAGATGAAACAAAAAGAGAGGAGAAAAGACGAGAAGAGTCCAGACAAAACCAGAAAAGAAGAGGAGAGGACACTAAAGAGAATTAAACAAGAAGAGAAAAGATTAAATGAGACCAGTAGGAGAGACAAAGCAAAAGAAATGGTAGAAAAGACAAGATGAGAAGAAATTAGATGAAAGAAGAACATTAGTGAGACAGACAAATTGAGACAAGATGAGAATGAGACAGGTGGAGACAAAGTTAAAACAGACAAGATGGGAGGAGAGACAAGACAAAACAACAGGAAAGGAGAGACGAGAGGAGAAGTGATGAGGAAAAAAAGGAGAGATGAGATGAGACAAAATAAGACAAAACAAGAATGAGATAAAGAGACAAGATTAAAATAAAGAGACAAAATGAGAGGAGAGACCAGAGGAGACAAGATAAGACAAAAAGAAACAGCCAAAATGAGAAAAGATAGTAGACAAAACGAGGAAAGGAGAGAAGATGAGACTTTAAGATAAACAGATTAATAAACCTGATCCAGATTGTGAGTACATTACCTCTGTGAAGCTTGATGTTCTCCACCGCCGGCAGTGTGTTCCTCCTGGGGATGACGGACACTGTGGAGACCTCTCCATTTTGAGCCCCCACAGACAGCGGCTTGCCACACCGTGTCTCTGATCCCTGGCTGGGTTTGGGAGGTCTGGGAGGAGGCGCATTTGTGGAGTCAGCACTGGATGGCATCAGGGCATTGTGGTTCTTATCAAACGTGCGGGGGATCTGGTAGATGGAGCAAGGAATGCTGGGTAAATCATAGTTATCGAGGGCCCGCTGCTCATTGGTTTGGGGGGCTGCTAGAGTGTTATTGGGGGTCTTATAGGTGTAGACATCATCTGATTCAAGCTCTGATGCCCCTTCAGAGCTGTAACCCCTGGGCAGAACATAGCAAGCGTCACGTGTGTCGGTCCGCGAAGGGGGCTGCTGACTTTTGCCGGGTTTGGGAAGGCTGTAGAAACCGTGAAGCTGGGCGCCCATGCCATTCAGACAGTGAGAGAAACCATGAGTGAGTCTCTGAACTGCCGAGTCACTGCCCACCAGAAGACTGCTGTGCGAGGCCTGCGAGAAACTGGCACTCCTTGAGGACCAAAATGACATTGGTTAGTTATTTATGATGAGCAGTCAAACATTAGTTTATGATCACTTATTTTCTCACATAGCCTTTATTTAAATAAATAAATAATCTAATCTACAACAGCCAAACTATTATTAGCCTTTGCTATAAATAATACTAATCAGTCATGCAAATGTTGACACGGCAAACTATATTTACGACAGTGAACTCACTGCAGGTCGAATCTTTTAATATCAACCACAATATAACATCTGTGTCAAAATCTCATAAATTAATTGGAAATTGAATCTAAAAAAAGAATGTCTTCGAGGTCACATGACCTCGTTATGTTTATGTGTGGCATGCAGTTATCATCTTGGAGGGGATTTTTTTTAATTTTGTTTTTGCATTGTCTTAAATTTACTTACAACTCACACTAGAAATGGAAGGTCAAGTCGAATGCATTGCATTGTGGGATACAGTATTGGATGTAATGTGCTCTGTATAGTGCATATTTTGGCAAATCCAATGCAGCTCAAATGTGCACAGTATTCACACTCTATACTAAATAAAAAAGTAAGTATAGAATTCTAATATGCTATAGCCAAGGAGTCTTTTAAAAAATAGTTTTTAAATATAATTTATATTTTGATTTGTATTAATATTTTAAAAACTTTTATTTGTATTTCTTGTTTTGCATTGTAATTTTAGTTTTATTAATTTCATGTTTTTGCCCTTTTCCAGATATATACAGGTGCATCTCAATAAATTAGAATGTCGTGGAAAAGTTCATTTATTTCAGTAATTCAACTCAAATTGTTTCTACGACATTCTAATTTATTGAGATGCACCTGTATTTAGCGTATTTCAGTTTTAGTAATTTTATTACTTCAACTTATTTTAATTAGTTGCCAAGACAGCATTTTTAATATATTTTTGTAGGTTTTCATTCAATATTTGTATTTTATTTAAAATGAAAGAAAATTACTTTTAATACGTTCAGTTAATAATAACACTGGATGCAAGTACACACAAAAAACAAAACAGTATTTGTGTAATATTAAGATTCAACCACTGGAGGCAGTAGAGTTGTCTGTCTCATATAACTTACAGGGGGAGTTTTTGATGTTGACTTGATGTCTGCTGTATAAATGTCTGTTAGTGCATGATGATGTATGATGAGAGTGTTTATGACACTCTATATTGGGTAGTGATGATGAATAACATGGGCATTCCCCCAGTAAAACTGGCATGCCTGGTACACATGGGATAAAACAGAGTTTGTTTACTTTCTGCAGGTTTTAAGTCAAATTATTGTGTGAAGAGACTTAGTTTGGCGGATGAAATAAATGGTAGGCATAGTAAACCTTTGATGGCTTGATTATCCAGAGGCATTATAACACAATTCTGTTTCATTTGGCATTATTTCACAAGGATTATAATCAAAGGAAGTGAATCAGGATGAAATGATTGATGATCACATCCTGTAAGTGAATCCTTCTGAAAACACTACAATACGTCACCGCCTGCTCCTGAATTTGTAGGAAGGTGTTTGTTTAAAGCAAAACACATTCGCTTATGACCTAATAACATCAAACCTAACCCTGCAAAGATGATCTCATATCCAAGTGACAGATGACAAGAATTAAAACTGGTATATGTCTATACAGAGGGCCATATTTGACCCCAAATCCAAATGTTTTTTGCTAAAAATGCTTTGCTTCGAGTCTTTGAGACATTCTTTTTTTATTCCAATTTAGCATACTTTTAGCATATTTACTGAAATATGGGGAATTACCATAATTCAGAAACAAAAAACATTCCCATTACTGTAATACAGCAATGAAAAAAAAATTCTGTCTTAAAAACGATCAGTTTGCTATGAAAGGCAATACAACAATGTATACTTTACAATTTGAATAATATAAAAATATTAACAATTTATTGAAATACATTATTTATTGAAATAAACATAATATTAATAATAAATAATATCCAGCAGATACTGAGGGGTGTTTAGCTGCCATAAAAATAATGCTGCAATGTAAAAAATAAGTTAGGATCAGTCATTTATTGACAGTTTTTGTGAGATTTGTGTGCATTTAACACTGTATTCTGTCTTTTACACAAACGCCTCCAAAGAATCAGCGTCCAATCCACTGACATCAGCAACAATTTTCTATCATAATGGTTTATAAATATCCAGCATAATTTTCATTACATGATTTTTGATCTATGCTCGGTTCTCTAGAGATCATACATCAGTACATGACAGCTCTTTATATGAAGGATGATTCGTGTCTGGATGGATGAATATGTGTGTGAGTGGAAGAGTATGAGATGGTTGAGGGAGCTTGACAGGAGCATCTCCGAATCATTGGAAATTTGAGTATTTTTAACAAATATCATTATATATTTATCCAATGTTTAAATATATTCTGTTGTTTTTGGGGAATCACACCACATGCCATTTTACAACCTAAACATTGCCTATCCTAAAAAGGTCAATTTATCTGATACTTTATCTGAGACTTATTGACCTTGATATCAATTCTGCTTTTTTCTACATGTTGAAATAAATTGCTTCCAGTACTGAAGACAATGTCTAGCTAGTGTTTTCGGTCTGTAAGCTATAAAGGGTGTAATATGAGCACATCTCCAGAGAATATGGCTCTTACCGTGCACTCTCACTCTTGCGGCTCATGCACTGATGGAGGAAGAGGTAGTCCTGAGGAGCACTATTAGACAGAGTACTATGGGAGTGGCGTACAGGTATGTCGAATGTGAAAAGCATTGGCTGGCTGGAGTGGGCGGGAACAGACGTTTTACGTTCACCAATCAGCGGAGCCAGAGAGCCACCCAGATCATTAGCCAATGAGCGGGAAATGTGGGTGGTTGACGATCTCTCATCTATAAGAAGAAACAAGAAAATCAAACCTTTAGGAATTTGAGATACACAACAACCAATGGAAATTTGACAAGCAGTTTTGCTTTCATTTTAGTGCACCGTGAGTTACCTCATAACCCTTGGGCAAACACTCAACATTGTCACAAAAGCAGCAGGACATTGATCATCTGAACGTGAGAAGTTCACCATATTTGATTTATTGACCCCAAGTAAACATGCTGCTTTTTTGGATCTATAAAGTTCAATAACATAAGCCACGTTTCGTCCATTTTCCCGCAGTGAGCTATGAAGTCAAGAAAAAAGTCAATTGTGGGTTTTGGCCAGTAATATGCATGTGTGCATTCCTAAATTCAGTCAATATAGATGTCGCATCTGTCTTCAGGAGGAGCGGGAACACTGAATCGGCATTCACAGAAGACTGCAAGAATGATTATTCTGAGACTGCAAGCCACTTGATTGGTATCTGTTTTTCTACGTCATTGCAGCGCTATGTGAACATCATGGCCTTTGCTTTGGGCTGTTTCTCTGTGACATCCCTGATTTGTACTGTATGGGTTCGCCAAAGAAAAATCTCAGGCCTCTGAACTTAAAATAGACCAGGCTGTGAGCCAAAACCAGGAAGTGCATATGACCCTCCTCCTACAACCACTACGATCTGCCCCTGAGAAGGGCAGAGAGTAAGAGGGGAAAGAGAAAGACACACAGAGTGGGCGGAAAAGCAGGTCTACTGCACTTGCACTGTAGTACTGCATACTTGCAGCAATGAGGAGCAAAGCTTCTATCCACACATCCTGGGAATTGTTGGGCACATTACACACTGAACTTTAACTATTGTGCTCTGTTCTAAAACTAAGCTTGTTGCCTACTGCTCACAAAGGCAGCATTCTAACCATGATCGATTTGGAATGTTCTACATAGGCAGCAACACGGCTAACATGCATCATACAAATGAATATCGCTCGAAGTACATGAGAGACTCAACTAACACATGGCTAAGCTTTTAAATGAGTTGACATTATCATGTCGCTAAGCTAATGTGACACTCTATTAAGCACAAGAATAACACAGCACACACAAATATTGAAATCCAAAAGTTTGATGTTACCATGTTGCTAAGTTAACATGATAGCCTTATAGGCTGAAAAATACATACCACAGTCAAATCCCCATTATTTCTGTAGTACTTTATACATATAGACTGTCAAAGCATCTTTACATTGATAAACACGAACATAACAGAATCAATCTTGGAGAGGATTGGCGGAACATGGCAGAAGTAGTACGTCCGAATTTCATTCACACTACCCATATTCATATTATATAGAATGTACTTTTTAACAGTCAGGAAATTAAGTTCAAATTCAAATGTTGTAGCTACTCAGACAGTATGTGATTTTGGATTCACTCCAAAAGTTTGACATTACCATTTTGCCAAGTTAACATGATATTCTAATGAGTACAAAAATACACAGCACAGACAATATTGAATTCCAAGAGTTTGTCCTTAACATGTTGCTAAGTTAATGTTATACTCTAATAAGCTCAAAAATAAATAGCACATGCAAATATTGAAATCCAAGTGTTTGCCAGTAGCATGTTGCTAAGCTAACATGATACATATAAGCTCAAATAATACACAGAACACAAATACATGTTAACGTTCAACTTTGGAACTCAATATTTGTGTGTTCTATGTTGTTTTTGTGCTTAGAGCATTTAGAGTAAGTTAATGCGATTCTCTAATAAGCACAAAAACTACACAGATACTGACAAATACATACATTGTGTACTGCTAATTAATATCACGTCTGTCTAGATTTTTGTTCATGTTTCATGTTTTCAGTTCAGGTCTATCTAGTCATGTTTTTTATGTCATGTATTTTACTTTCAATCGTGTTTCCTGTTTCATGTCACTTGACTTCCTGTTCCTAACGATATGACCCAGCACCCAAAATACTATCAAAACACTCCAATGCAGCCTCCATTCTTCGAGAAACATGGATAAAAAGGCGCACAGGAAACAAAAACCTTGAAAAAAAAAAAATGATATACAACCCCACCAAATCCTGGACAAATCACAGAGATGCCAATTCGCAGGAGACTAATATTATCACAGGACCTCGGTGTTCGGCAAAATATGGTAGATCATTTGTGGGGGAATTTTCACAAATTACAAATTACAGACATGGCCGATTTGCACGGGATTAAGATCACAGACAACCTCCGCAATTATTACACATGACTAGAAGTCACCAGGTAATACTAATCCTGTGCGAACAGGGCTATAGTGTTCAATGTGAAGCGGCTCTGCACAGACCAAACTGTGTATAACATCAAAATACCGCAAGAGCGATTAGAGAGCAGACGGCTCCATATGCTTTCGAATTGCTCTAGCGGTACTTTGATGTAAAACACACATCGGTCTGCACAGCAGCGCTTCAGATTGAACACACCTTTATATTTAAGCCCTGCCATGGTACTTTGTTGTGCATTAAGGTACTTTATGCTGTTCTCTATGTTCCACTTAAGGTCATTAGTCAAGCTCATAAATTATATTGATCTTTTGGTTGACATCTAGGATTAAGTTCATAGTTTGTTTATGTTTTTGGGTCATCACCATTGGAAATAAAACTGCACTTGGGTTCGCTACACCATTGTCCTTGTCTGCTTCATGCCAGCAAAGTTACAGTTAATGCGTATGTATTAACCTTTTTTTTTTTTTATATTTTGCGAGACTTAAAGGGTTAGTTCACCTAAAAATGAAAATTAGCCTGTATTTTACTCGCCCTCAAAGTATCTTAGGTGTATGTGACTTTCTTCTTTCAGACGAATCCAATCGAAGTTCTTTTAAAAACTGTCCTGGCCCCTCCAAGCCTTTCAATGGGGGTAAGCAGGTGTTGGTTGTCAACAGTTCAGAAGACGTGAAATAAAGTGCGCGCATCCGTAATAAAACGTCTCTCACGCGGCTCCGGGGGGTGAATAAAGGCCTCCTGTAGCGAATCCATGCATTTTTGTAAGATAAATATCCATATTTCAAACATAATAAACACTTTTTTCTCACTTCCGCTGACTGTGGTATGTGGAAGACGTTCAGGCGGATGACGTAGGACGTATGCGCAATGCGCGCCTCTGAGAAATGCAGGAGCAAAGGAAACAAAGTTTCCTTACTTTAGCAAAGGAAAACCAGTCTCCTCTTGGCTTATATCGAAATCCTCCGACATTTTTCTTTACAAATCCTCATTTTGTGCTTCTAATTTGTGAACGGCGTTTTGTTTTGTTTTGTCTCCGCATTTGTCACTAATCACGCAACGCCAACGTATTACGTCATCCGCCGGAACGGCTTCCACATACGACAGTCAGCGGAAGTGAGAAAAAAGTGTTTATTACATGTGAAATATGGATATTTATCTTACAAAAATGCATGGATTCGCTACAGGAGGCCTTTATTCAGCCCCGGAGCCATGTGAGGGACGTTTTATTACGGATGCACGCACTTCATTTCACGTCTTCTGAACTGTTGACAACCAACACCCGCTTATCCCCATTGAAAGGCTTGGAGGGGCCAGGACAGTTTTTAATATAACTCCGATTGGATTCGTCTGAAAGAAGAAAGTCACATACACCTAGGATGCTTTGAGGGTGAGTAAAACACAGGCTAATTTTCATTTTTGGGTGAACTAACCCTTTAACAGAATACAAGTAGAATACAATTTCTTTCAACTCAGTCAAACATTTTCCACTAAGTTTGTTGCAGTGAATTCTGGGATTATCTGCAATGCTGCCAGTATGGCCAAAATGAGGTCTTAGAAAGCAGCATAATTTGCCTATTGTTTGAGAGTCTGTGATGTCTTAAAAATTGTCTAGATAGGCAAAACTAAGTTTAACGAACAGACTTAGTAGAGATGTTACAACTCTTTACAGTTCTGGTTTGTCATTGGGGTCTGATTGACTACTAGGCTTGTGCATGTAACGCGATAACAGTTCGGTACAGAGAATGGGACTGATTTTGGGTCATAAATAAGGCCAAAATTGCTGCCTGGGGCACAGGGAGAGATGTACAGAGAGAAGATAGCCCTTCTTTTTTCTTTTATCTTCTGAACAACAGAACACGACCAGGCCAGGCCACAGTGTCAGGGGTCTGCTGTAGGTCTTCAATTAGTCCATTGTTTCTCAGGAGCCCAAAGCTCCCAAGGCTACATGGGGCAGAACTCCTCCAGTTGCTTCAGAGAGCTGTGTATATGAGTCCACTAACCGCCATTTCTGTATTGATTTGGTGAAGAAGTGCACTTTGTGACCCTCCTCTGAGAGCGGGAAAGTGAGACGGGGGAATGAGGTGCTCAGATTGAGATGGTTTGCATCTGTCATGCGATATGCACTAATGCAATGAGGTAAAGGCATTTTAGTGCAGTGCAGGGAATGGCACACGGCTGTGTTGCGTTTGATTATCTTGAAGCTAATTGCAAATGGAATGACAAGTAATAAGGAGACCCAACCCATGAAAGATCTGTGATGGCTCAGTGACAGAATTAGGATGAGTAATAGGCCTTCTGATTTACATTGACTTGACCATGTAAAGGAAATAAGTTGGTTGGTTTATTGGCTTCCATTTAAAGAAACCGAAAAAAATATCATTTGGTTCTTAAAGTTGCTATGGAAGTTGTGACAGATCTTTTCTTCTGTGACATCAATATGATTGAAACAGATTAGCAAAAAAAAAAAAAAAGAATAAAAATAAAAAATAAAATAATATTTTGGACAGGGAATTGCATTTATCCATTGGTTTTTGATTGGATGGAAGCAGATTTTGCAGAATTTCATTGGAAGATGAATTGAACTATGAGTTGACTGAAAATGGCAATGTAAAAAAAAAAAAATGAAATAAAACACATAAATGGATGAATCGTTAAAAGTAAAATCAAAAACCTGCATTTAGAAAATAGAGCCAATTTTCATTCCATGCAGACTTTAATAAAAAGAGCAAAATGGAAACGCATTTCTATAC